GAGGTCTCTGAATCAGAGTGGATGGAAAGACACAGTCTGCCAAAAAGGGAAATCTGTTGCTATGGAAACAGTGAAGTTTACTTCAGGAATGGAAGTTTCAGAACAATCAAGATAGATTCCCTCCCTTGTCATGGCCGACTGTGCGCATGAGTGGTGCAGAAAAAAAAAGAACTGTATCACCTCAAAGGAAACGTTAGAAGGAGAAATGTAAAAAGGCAACGAGAACTGATGAAAAATACGAGTAAGAACAATGTGATGCTTCCTGTAGTGAACTGTGAAGTTGTTCATTGAAAGTCTCCATCTTTGCCACAACAGACACATAATATAATCTCTGAAATGGACTCAGATCTTAATAGACGCCCTCTCCACAGACGATCTCACGTCAATTCTCCAAAGCTATGATAGAAGTGCGTCTGATGGTCTTGAGTCATCTGAAGAAGAAACGTGACAAACCTGATCTGCTAAAAGAAAAACAGACTGAGCTTGAACAAATATCAACAAAACTACAGTCAGCAACACTTTGGCTGGAGCACATCTTGAGAGAAATGGGGCAGATCTTATGAAGCCATGTAGATCTCTGCAGAAACAAACAAAAGAGGGGGACTGACTGGTCTAAACACCTGAGCTGGCTGCAGACCCTGATGATATCAACAGCCCATGGAGCATGGATGTGAATGCAGGTCATGTGCCTTTGACATGGATCTCTAGTCTTTTAAGGAAGTCATCAAGAGACTGGGTGACCAGAAGAGTTTGTGTTGTCAGTTTTGGGCTTACAAAGCAGTGGAAAATCAACAATGCTGAATGCCATGTTTGGTTACAGTTTGCAGTGCATGCTGGCAGAAGCACCAAGTGTGCCTTCATGCAGCTGATCCAAAATGTCAGAAGAGATGAAGAGAGACCTTAAGTTTGACTATGTCCTGGTGGTGAACACCGAAGGAACTGCGTGCTCATTGAATTAAGCAGGTAACGCCGCTCTTAACCACTACAATAGAACTGCAACATTTGTTGTTGGTCTGGGAACACATGACAATTGATCACATCTTTGGAGAGAATCCAGCTGACATGCAAGATGTTCTGCAGATTGTTTGTCAGGCTTTCATGAGGATGAAGACACTCACAACTTCTCAAGTTGTGTGTTTGTTCACCAGAATGTGACAGATATTTCAGCTCAGAGAGAAACATTGAGGGAAAGAGACGCCTGCAAGAAAAACTACCAGATGACCCAACTAGCTGCCCCAAAGAGGAGGTTTGTGATGCACAGAGTGTTTCACGACATCCATTGCAATTTGATGTTGCAAAAAATGTGAAATACTTTGCCCAACTTTGGAGGACAGTCCACCTATGGCTATCCAAATCAGTATATAGTGAGACGCTCGTCCAAGAGCTGAAGCAACTTCATTCTCTCTAAAGCTTCACAGTCTGCTGGCGATTACTCTCTCACAGTTCAAAACGCAAAATTCACGACCTGTGGAATGCCCTTGAACGAAAACTTTGTTTTTCAGTTTCAAAAAAACACACTTGAAATTATAAGTGTATAGGAAACCTTGAGGTTCAGTATGGAACTGGACCTGGGTCCTGAGGAGCAATAACATGTTGGCCATTGAAAACCAGCTTCAACTAAAATTGAAAATGGCAAAACTTGCACAAGTTGAGCTCAGTTATCTTTCTAAAAGAAATGAGCCGAACATATGGCAGAATCACAAAAGAAATGTCAAAGCACTTTGATGATGACACAGACAAAGAAATCTTGTTTCAGGGGCGAGCACATTTGAAAGCAAAATCAAGGAAGTTTCATGAAGAACAGGTGAGAGGAGTGAAAAGAAAACTGGATGAAGTTATCCAGCAGAAGAAGCTGTGTTAAAAAGCCTCGATGATCAGAAGACAGAGTTTGAGAACAAGTGCTACAGAAGAGCAAAGAGCTCGCTCATCAGTTAAAAACACAAGACACAAGATGAAGAGAACTTAAACAGCAGTTTGACTCTGTTGGAGCGAGTGGTGAGAATGAAACTAACTCTGCAGATACAAAACCTATTTGAAGACATCAACTTGGTGGAATCAGTCAACCTATCCCTTCATGAGCTTGTATTGAATGGGCCTTATTGATGAATCCAAAAACAGTGCAGATACAAAAACACATCAGGGGCTGGTGATTACTTTATTATGTGACACTCACCAAATATCAGGACGTTGTGACGAAAGTCAACCAGCCTCAAGAGAGAAGGGACAAAAGAGAAAAGGGGAAACTTAGACAATGTAAGAAACAGGTACAAAAGTATTAAGATACATTAAGGGGCATTTTTCAGCATGAAAGACGAACAACTGATCAGATCCCTGATTGATGATGTTGAAAAACAGTCACTTGATACAATCAAAGAACCAAACCTGTAGCTTACAACACCTACAGCTCTCCAACTATTGCAAGAAGTTGCCAAAAATGTCAAAGAGAAAGTGAAGAATATCAGAGGAGGAAATTTGCTCTGAAGAGAGAGTTTACAGTTGATCTCTTACTGTATGTGTTTGACAGAGCAGGACTTGGCTTTCAGAGTCCCATTAGAAATTCAAGAAGAAGAAGATGCACTGATTTATTCTAGAAAGCAAGAGGGATCAATATTTAAACAATTTTTCAGAAGCATTTCATACGAACTTTGCTGTTGTACTCGAGAACTGATCTGTGAAAAACTGAAGGTTTCCACTGTGAGGCTGTCTGTAACAAGACAGTCCATATCTACTGGAGAGGATGAGAATGCAGTTTCCCAGCATTCAATGGGAACAGAGTGAACCTGGAGAAACATTGGTTGAAGTCACTGGCAGAGAAAGAGGACTTCAGTGGTTTCATTACCTACATCCATTCAACCAAGGAAAACATGTGAGAGATCTTAAAAGAGGAAGTTAGAGAAATACATCTTCACATCACACCAAAATAATAGCGCGGAATAACATTGTCACCATGAAGAGTTTGCCCATCTGCAAAGCTGAGACACCCATGGTGTCATTTTTCCGCCTGGGTTCACTGTCAGTGTCTAAATCTCAGCTGATGAACACTTTGATCAACGAGCGTCACAACACCTTCTTCCACAGAAACTGCCCAGGTAGCACCAGATCTCGCCTTTTGATGGATGGTGTGGCAGAGATTGCCTGGTACTGTCCTGCTGGAAAACCCAACGATGCCTTCACTGACTGCACTGCCTTCTGTAATCTTCATGGTGATGCTCTGTCGATTGAAAAACAGCGGAAGACACTGACTGAAAAATCTTCAGTCAATGTTGTTCTGTTACCAACTCTGAAAAAAGGTGACAAAAGTACTGAAGTTATCTCAGATCTTCTTGAGTCTCCAAAGCCTCTGATTTGTCTCATTACTGATAATGATTGTGGTGCAGTTCAGATGAAAAAGGGAAATTACAAAATTAGTCTAAAAGACAGAAGCCAGTCAGATGTTTCTGAAGAACTGAAAAGGATCATTAGAGAGATCTTGTCTGGATCACAAACATCCTTCCAGCTTGAAACCATGGCCGAGGTCTCTGGGATCAGAGTGGATGAAGAAGACACAGTCTGCCAAAAAGGGAAATCTGTTGCTATGGAAACAGTGAATTTACTTCAGGGAATGGAAGTTTCAGAAATCAAAGATAGATTCCTCCCTTGTCATGGCCGACTGTGGCATGAGTGGTGCAGAATAAAAAAAGAACTGTATCACCTCAAAGGAAACGTTGAGAAGGAGAAATGTAAAAGGCAACAGGAACTGATGAAAATACGAGAAGAACAATGTGATGCTTCCTGTAGTGAACTGGTGAAGTTGTTCATTGAAAGTCTCTCATCTTTGCCATCAACAGACAAAGAGTATTTCCTGAAATGGACTCAGATCTTAATAGACGCCCTCTCCACAGACGATCTCACGTCAATTCTCCAAAGCTATGATAAGAAGTGGTCTGAGGTCTTGGATCTGAAGAAGAAACGTGACAAACCTGATCTGCTAAAAAGAAAACAGACTGAGCTTGAACAAATATCAACAAAACTACAGTCAGCAACCTTTGGCTTGGAGCACATCTTTAGAGAAATGGGGCAGATCTATGAAGCCCATGAATCTCTGCAGAAACAAACAAAGAGGGGTTGGACTGACTGGTCTAAATACCCTGAGCTGGCTGCAGACCTGATGATATCAGGACATCCCATGGAGCTGATGGATGGTGATGCAGGTCATGTGCCTTTGACATGGATCTCTAGTCTTTTAGAGGAAGTCATCAAGAGACTGGGTGACCAGAGAGTGTTTGTGTTGTCAGTTTTGGGCTTACAAAGCAGTGGAAAATCAACAATGCTGAATGCCATGTTTGGGTTACAGTTTGCAGTGAGTGCTGGCAGATGCACCAAGGGTGCCTTCATGCAGCTGATCAAAGTGTCAGAAGAGATGAAGAGAGACTTTAAGTTTGACTATGTGCTGGTGGTGAACACCGAAGGACTGCGTGCTCTTGAATTAGCAGGTAACGCCGCTCTTAACCACGACAATGAACTGGCA